ATGTCCGATATTCAGTTTTAAGGCCGATACAGGCCGATTATATCGTGCATCCCTAAAAAAAATGTCATCTTTTCCTTCTGTGATACTATAGTTTTCTTGTAGTAATTGGTATAGATTACACAAAGGAATCTATTCAAGTATCAGTAAGGTATTTTGAACTAGGTCAGAGGCAATGTTACAGGGATTTTATGTTTCCTCTGCCCAAAAAGGAAGAAAAAAAGGAAATTATTATTTTTTTTTTGTGAGGCATATGTCAACTGTTCATTCAAGCTGCTACTAATGAGAGCTTGACTTCAGCAAGTAAGAAATGACTTTGCTTTCTTGCCCTTAGTAATTGTGACGTTCTGATAACGGTTGTCAGTTATGGGCCAATTATCAACGACTGCAAATGTTTGTCAAATTGCTCTTGTGTTTTGAATCCATTTAATTGAATGGCAAGAAAAATTACCTAAATAAACTGAGATTTTTTCATAGCTGCCTGTGCACTGATGTTCAGCTGGCCTCAAGACAGCTATTGCATCTTCTTTGTCTTCAACAAAGACAAATTTCCAATCATAAAAAACATGGAAAAGAAACAAAATTAACTGCACTTAACATTACTAAGTTAATGTTTTAAAATAAGATACCTTTCACTGTGATAGTAATAAGTGATAAAAGAATCATGTAATTTTTCCCTCAAGGTTTTTATATTATAATAATCTCTCACCAGTTAACACCCATGATTAGCCTTTGCTAATCAGGCTTATATAATCTTATTATTATAATAAGATGCTACCGACAATTTAAAATGTTGCTGCTGTTATGATGTTGTCTTTGTTTTGGAAAAATTAAAATCATCTTTTATATTGTAACTTCTCTAACCAACAAAGTGTATTATTGCCTTTGCTCATAATATGGCCAATCAATATTTGCTAATTACAAACAGTTAGGTTAAATAAATTACTCTAGGCTGTTAATCATTCAGTTAAATGTCAAATTATTGACCTTTTAATTTAAAAAAACAATTTTTCTGACTGGAAATTTTTTGGAGTGGAGCAGCTTTGAAGAGGGGTACAGATAAAAAAAAAAGAAGATAATTTGCTTTGCAATGCTGATATTGATTCATTTTACTAATTTCTACCAAATACAGTGATTTTTAATTCAAACTGTCATTGGTTTTTAAGATGTTTAGCTTAACTGTATTCTTAACAGAAGCAATTAGCTAAAGTTGTTATTAACAGCTTACAGGCCTATAAAACACCCCCAAAAAACTGGCTTATTTCTTGCATCTCAAACCAACATGTATATTTTCTTTTTTTGGTACAACAGACAATATTAGGCAAATTCAAGATGAACCTTTTTAAGAGCAACAGCAGTGGCACACCTTGACACAGATCAAACAGATTGCACCAAATGAAGCAAAAAGTTTACACTATAACAACACAACACAAATATATATATATTTATATAAAAAAAAAGGAAGCTGATGGAGTTCTGCACGGCTCTGGAATGGAAGGCATTGCATTAGTCTGCACTACAACCTGGATGCTCAAGAAGTCACACATACAGATCAAACACAGAGTTTAGAGGAGATGCAGGCTGAGCACACAGGTTCCGTGGCCTGACACACTCTCCGTTTTCCCCCTTTTGGTCTCCCTCCTTCCCCTCCAAACCCTGGTGGACAAACATGCAGAGCTTGTTCATGAGTCAGTGTGACTGTAATGGCTGCGTTCTAACAAAAGGAAAGAACCCACTCCCCAAATTATACCCGCCCCCCCTCCTGAAGCCCTCTTGCTGTATGGGACAAAAAGATAGCTTTCACGAAGCATATCAATGCTGGAACTGAAAGGTGTGATGCAAGAGAGAGGACGATCACACTAAAGCACTGGAATGACATCGGCCCTTAAATTACTGTATGAGAAGCCCCCCCCACCGCCCCCAACCTCCAAATTGCATTTGTTCTTGGTGGCATGCCCCGCCCCCCCCAACCCAAGTCCATCCTCGAGCACAAGCGGCATGCAAGCGTCAGCGAGGACCCAGGGCGGTCGGTCATGCTGCTGCTTGGCGCCGTTACCTCCTCCAGTGCGTCGATCAGGAGCCCATTTTGTTTGTAGCGCATATAGGCGTTAGTGCCCCGAAGCTTGGCAGCACGGATTCTAGCGAGGCGAGTTTTCTGTTTGAACAAACAGACCTCTGTTTTAGCCCCTGACGGTTTGTCTGTCTGTCACACTAATTGGCCCTGTCTCTGCCTGACAGCAACAGCATCCGGCAGGAAGAACTTCTGCCCAAATCTACTGTTAGCAAAAACTCTGCCTTGGCAAACACTTTTGGTGGGGGAAAAAACAACAAAAAGATATAAATATAAAGAATGCTTTTCTTTTAAAAAGCTGCTGACTCGATAATCTGGATCTAGATGATTTGTTCAGTCTTTTTCATTCCCCTCTGTTATTTTTGACTCCCACTGAAATACACTTAAGCAAGTTCAGTCCATCCCGATGTGCACATCCACACAAGCACAATAAAAGATTAATATTCTGGAAGATAGTGTTTGCCCTGTCATTCTGTTGCAGGCGGATGAGACAGGGACAGCGCAAAAAGGGCAGAGAAAAGCAAAACAAATACTATAAAAAGAAGGAAGAGGAAGGAGAATGGGTGGGGGGTTGGGTTGGGTCAGTACCCTCTGGGCTCGTCGTTTCTCTGCCCGCTGGCTTTGGTGGTAAATACGGCTGAAGTTTGACACTATGACAGGGACAGGCAAGGCGATGACCAGCACCCCACTTAGAGAGCATATGGACCCAAACACCTTCCCCACAATCGTCTTTGGCACCATGTCACCGTACCTGCAAGACAGAACAAGCGCATATCTCTGAAAAGAGACTCAACAGAAAAACAAAATGGAGATAATATTATCAACCTCCTTATATTATCTTTTCAAAACCACATATTTTCTTACAAAAATACTTTTTTTTTAATGAATATTACTTTACAAATGAAAACTTTGATGTATTGTATTGGGGTTTTATATGATAGACCAAAATCAGTAATGAATAACTGCAAAAGAGGAGAAAAAAAGGATGATTGTGATAGTAAATGTTGATAATGCATTATAGAAACACCTTGAAATGTAATTTACAAATAGGAACGTTTTAGTTTATGTATTCATTGATCTCGCAAACAGCTCAGGTTAATCATATTGGTTCAAAACAATCAATAAACATCAATTTAAAAGGATTGCATTACATTTTAGAACATAATAAATTTATGGAAATATCCTTTATTGCCCAGTGTAGCAGAAATAAAAGGACAGGAATGCGGAAGCATACTGATTCACAAAAAGGTAAACATACTTACAACTATGAATAAGAGAGTGCACATTAAAAGCAGATTTACAGCTGAAAAGGTTATATTCAGAAGAAAGAATTACAAATTCTTACTCTAAGCATGAGACCTGTGATGTGAAAAATTATTTTCCTATCCATTTCTCCATTTTATTGACAATAAGTGGCTTATGAGTATTTTATCTTCTATACAAAAGTATTCACTCAGCCTCCCACACACTCGCAAGAGTTTGTAGTGAGTTGTTTTCACTGCCTGATGTTGTGGAAATTAGCTTGGCTTATGAATGCTCAAGGTTATTTCAACATCTGTTTGCTCAAACTGTCTGCAACTTGTTTTGGTTAAGCTGCATTTGAGAACCTTTACAGCTCTTTGCATTGGATTGAGATATCAATGATCTAAATGATACCCCTGCAACTGGTTGTTTATTGAGGATTGATCCTGTAGAAAGAACAACTCAGATTCTTGTCACTTTCAGCCTCTGGCAGATTGTCTTAAACAAATGACCTATATTTAATTTAGTACATATTCTAATCAAGTCTAACCAGTCTCCCTTACTCTGCTTAAGAAAATCTCCGATAAGCATGGTTTGGTATTTGGTATGACCAGAGTGCGAAAAACGGAGGGGTGGTCAAGGGGGGCTTGATCCCCCCGATTAACCCATGAGATCCCCTGAAAGCCTCAAAAGCAAAATTTAAAGGGGGTCTTAAATTGTGTCAAAAAAATTTAAAATAAAATATTTTTCTGTCACTAATGGTCACTAAACTGTTTTTAAGCTCAACATGTCCAGTATTTAAAATTCATAACCTTTATTCACAAGTAGGGATGCACGATATTGGGATTTTGGCCGATATCCGATATGCCGATATTTTAAAACTCATGTAGCCGATAACCGATA